TAAAGAAAATATCAGAATGGTCCCAGAATTACCCTTATTTATTTAATAACAAAATAATAATCTCATAAACAGTTTTGTGGATTTATTCCCCAATTGTCAGTTTTTTTCTCTTACGTTTTTTAATATTCTTTTTAAGGCTGTGATTTGAATTAGAAACACTTACCTTCCCAGAGGAGTATTTGTATGCCTAGGTTACTTTAGAAGTTTCAGTGGTTTAGGTTAAATTGAATAGTTTTCCAACTTCAGAGAGGTTATAGCTCAACAGAACATTCCCGCTGACCCATTTAAGCCCACTCATCTGGAAGTTTCAGAGGCTTTTCTTTCAAAGCAAGTAAATGGTTTGGAGATGAGAAAATTTCCTTTTCTAGTGGCATATTTTTCTTTTTTAAAATTTGTTTTAATGCTCATTTATTTTGAGGGGAGGGAGGGAGGGAGGCAGAGAGAGAGAGAGAGAGAGAGAGAGAGAGAGAGAGAGAGAACAAGTGGGGGAGGGGCAGAGTGAGAGGGAGACACAGAATCCAAAGCAGGCTCCAGGCTCCAAGCTGTCTGTACAGAGCCCGATGTGGGGCTCGAACTCATGAACCATCAGATCATGGCCTGGGCCAAAGTGGGACGCTCAACTGACCGAGCCACCCAGGTGCCCCCCGGGCTGCGGCAAAATTTCAGCTGTTGTGCGTGCTCCTCACAGTGTCCTTCACTCAGGGACAGGGGCCCACAGGGTGATGGAGGGGCTGGATGGAGAAGGCCAGGCCCAGGCAGCCCTCGCAGCCAGTTCCATAAACGTAAATATAAGATGTGGGCTTGGGTACCTGCAGGTTTTAGAGAACAATTTGCAGCAGCCCCCGTCAGTTTTAATTTCTGAGGAACTCAAAGAACAGAGGAGGCATCATGGGCCAGAAGAGAGAGAGGGGTGACACCTCCCTGGCCAGCCTCAGGGTGTCTTGCCATGCCTCATGCACACCCCATGATGGCTCCCTTTGGGTCTCTCCTCAGGGGTTCCCTCAGCCTGTGGGTGCAGGGCATTCAGGCTTTGCTTGTTTGAAGTCTCCCTGTGCTTCAAGGACCAGCCGAAATGCTTACCTTCTCCGTGGAGAAGCCCGATGGCCCAGTGCCCCACCAAGAGGGCATTCCGCCTTGTCTGGTGATGACTGATGCCCATGTCCTAACTCTCCTGCTAGACAGTCAGCATCTGGGAACACGACTGAGTCTCTTCCGTCTCTCTATGCCCTGCCGAGGCACTCAGCTGAGAAGGGCACCCCTTACTTTGCCTCTGCCGTCCAGACACCTGAGGTCTGCTTGGGGTGAGGCAGCCCCCCCTAACGCTCAGGCCACTCCAGGGCCTGAGCAACGTGCATTCGAGTTCTCTTTAAGTTGCTATGGGCACCTGCACTCTTTTTTTTTTAATTTTTTTTAATGTTTTATTTATTTCTAGGAGAGAGAGAGAGAGACACAGCGTGAGCAGGGGAGGGTCAGAGAGAGAGGGAGTCACAGACTGAAACAGGCTCCAGGCTCTGAGCTGGCAGTCAGCACAGAGCCCGACGCGGGGCTCGATCCCACGAACCGCGAGATCATGACCTAAGCGAAAGTTGGACGCCCAACCGACTAAGCCACCCAGGCGCCCCGCACCTGTACTCTTTATCCCTTTAGCTTATGTCCTGGGACAATCAGACAGGAGACAAAAGTCCTAACAAGCCAGGGATGACCGGCATGGGTGACAGAAGAAATCAGTGGCTCTTTTGAGGGCCTCGGTTCCCTCTGTAAAGGCAGGGAGGGGCAATGAGCATCTTACTGAGGGGGTTGGACTCTAATGGGAAGGAACATCACCTTCATCATAGCCGTGCTTCCTCCCACTGTTTCAAAAGCCTCTGCAGCCATTATCAACAGGGATTCTTAAAACACCCCAGGAAGTGAGGAAAGCCAACAAGGGAGGCAAAGAGAAGGTGATGTCCCATCAAAACTGGTAGCAAAGAATGGGACCAGAATCCTGACTTGCTGATCCCTTAAGCTGGCTCTGTCTCTGAACCCACGTGTGCCAGCGCTGACGGAACAAAGGACAAACGGAACAAAACAAAACCCCCACCTCCTAGGTTTCAGGGCTGCTGGAATCCTTGAAGGTCCTCTCAATCAACGCCACATTTCACAGAAGAGGACACAGGTCCAGATGGGGGAAGTGGTGTGCTTAAGTCTTACGATGACTGCTTAATCCAATTTTGTTCATTTTTCTCAGCTCTTTAAGAGCTGCGGCGAGTCACCAGTTGAGGTTTAGGAGACTTGGGATCCTGTCCCACCCGCTGCCATGTCACCCCCTCCCCCAATACTTCCACTTGCATTTGCCAGACAGGAGGCATGGCAGTTGAGAGTGCCCAGTGTCCTGTCCGCCTAGCGTGGCCAAGATCCTCCTCCCATTTCTGCCCCAGATGGGGAGAGCTGGGTGGTGGGAAAAGGAGGGACAAACAGAAACAGGAGAGAGGAGGGGTCACCTATACCAGCGGAGGGGACATGAGCCCTTTGTTGGGGGAGGGAGAAGGGCCAAAGGAGAGGAGAGCACTGATCAAAAACGCACCTGAATCGGAATCACAACATACCTGTGTTTCTTCAGTCGCTTCCACGTCTCCTCTTTCCTTGGCACCTCCTTTTCCTTCTTTGAAGGTGCTCTCTGCTCCTTGAAGGAAGTCCTCCTATCCTTCCTTCTCTCCGAGCAGGTCCTCTCTGCGGAGCTCCTCCCCCGCTCCCCCAGCTCTTCTCGGTGTCTCCTGCGCTCTGCCTGCTTCCTCCGAGGGGACCCCGGCCCTGGGCTGCCCCTGACCCGTTCCTTCTGGCCAGGCTGGGCTCCGCGCCTACCTGCTGCACCCTCAGCTCTGAGAGCCCGCTTCTTCGAGGGTCTCCTCCCGGACCTGTCACCTGTAGGGGCCGGAATTGGACAGTTGTGGCCTCACCAGCTTCCACCCCAGGAAAGTGCCCCCAGCTGTGGGAAATCAGATGTCCAAGATAGTTCCTGGAGCTTGTTGACTCCAAAGGCCACATCTTTCAGGGGCGCCTGGGTGGCTTAGTCGGTTTAGCGTCCGACTTTCGCTTAGGTCATGATCTCGCGGTTCGTGGGATCGAGCCCCGCGTCGGGCTCTGTGCTGACTGCCAGCTCAGAGCCTGGAGCCTATTTCAGAGTCTGTGTCTCCCTCTCTCTCTGACCCTCCCCTGCTCACACTGTCTCTCTCTCTCAGAAATAAATAAAAAAAACAAAAAAACAAAAAAAACAAAGGCCACATCTTTCAGAGCCTCTAGTCTGAGATGAGAATTAATGTCTCCCTCTTTGGACCTGCTGTCACTCCCACGCTCTTGCCTAAACCTCAGGTAGAGGGGGGCACCTGGGTGGCTTAGTTGGTTGAGCGACTGACTCTTGATTTTGGCTCAGGTCATGATTTTGTGGTTCGTGGGTTTGAGCCCGGCAACGGGCTCTGGGATGACAGTGTGGAGCCTGCTTGGGATTCTCTTTTCCTCTCTCTGTCCCTCCCCCACTCATGCACACACACTCGTGCTCTTTCTCAAAAATAAATAAATATTACAAAAAATAATAAAGCTCAGGTAGAGATTTAGGCACATGCCTTTCCCCTTTGTGGGTGTGCAACTCCTTGGGGTCCAAATGGATTCATCTCCTGACCAGGCCAAGGCCAAGCTCTGGTCTCTGTTTGGCAAGGCTCTGTCTGGACCACTGATGCAGAAGGGCCGAGCAGGCTCCTTTCTCCAGGGAGAAAGCCTCACCTGACCCTGCCTGCCTGTGTGTGTGTGTGTGTGTGTGTGTGTGTGTGTGTGTGTGTGTATCAACCATGACTCTGTAGCACTGGCAAATGGCCTGGTTGAACAGAATCTACAGTATGAAATTTCCTCAACAGTTTGCCCAACAGCTAGACTAAGTACAACTATTCACAAATTTACTAATTAAATACAGGAAAAATTATCATGAAGTTCTGGTATTAATAACCAACCTCTTCATCACTTACTAGCTGGGTGTCTTTGAGCAAGTCACTTGACCTCTCTGAGTCTCGGCACATCTAACATGGGGATGTTCATACTTACTCCATCAGCTGTTTAATGAACACAGAACAGTGACTGACATCTGACAGTGATGCCACTGCATCATCCCTTGGCTCCTGGGCATGGTGGCTCTAACAGCTCACAGGCTCTCCCTTCTCCAGGGAGCTTTTGGTTGATGGGAGCCATCTTGCCAGGAAATGCCCAGAAGTTTACATCCCTTTCCTCTCCTTGAGTCAGCCCATGGCCAATTACTAACTGATACACAGGTATAAAAGTCCAGTCCTCTGCCCAAAAGCTGAGCAAGTCTGTTGCTCATTCATAATCCAGAGTTTCCTGTGGAATCAGGCCTTGGTTAGAGTCCATCTGAACACACATCCTTGCTCGATTCCTTCCCTTGCCCTATCCTGCTTCCCTCAATCCTTGTCTCCTGAGAGCCACCCTCGATAAATCACATGCCCATGAATCCCCATATCAGGCTCTCTTTCCAGGGAACCTGATAGATCTATAGGCACCTACCTCAGAGTGTGGTAGGGAAATCCAACTGAGATAGCATCAGGGCAAGTGTGATGGAAGCTGGAGTTAGATTCAGTGAATGAAATTTCCAATGAGGTTCAGAGAGAAACTAGTCAAAGTTCTCTTTTTGGATTTCAAACTAGGATATTGGTGGCATATTCAAATGGATAATGTGCCTGCCTGCTTGGCTACAGGCTATAGCAGCAAATGAGACTGAAGAGATTCTGTCCCTCAACACATTTTGAGTTAGTGGAAGAGATGGTGTGATCAGTTCTATGATACAAGAAGCACAGGGTGGGCTTCACCTAGATTTAAGGAAGGCCTTTTGAAGGAAAAAACTTCTAAGCTGAGATCTGAGATCCTATTCTTAACTGATCCAACAGATAAGAGTTTGTTTAACATAATAATAGATGATTGTAGTTTATGGATAAGTGAAAAGAATGACAGCTGTGTTAAAGGAACAAGAAGGAGGAACTGGAAATACTCTGTTATAAGGTATCTGCACCACCCATGAAGTGGTATAATGTTATTTGAAAGTGGACCTATGTTAATTGTAAATGGATATTGCAAACTCTAGTGAAACCACTAAAAAAAGCATAACTGATATGCTAAAAAGGGAGAGAAACTGGTATCCTAGGACATTCTCAGTCAAAACCACAAAACATAAAGGAAGGGTGGAAGACAAAAATAGGAACAAAAAAAACAAGGGCAATGAATAAAACAGCAACAGATACAGCAAATATTATTCTAACTATATCAACAACCACAACAATGGTCCAAATATACCAATTAAAGAAAGAGGTTGTCAGAGTCGATATTGAAAAAGACAAGAAATCCACTTTAAATATAAAGACAAATACAGATTACAAGTTAAGGGATGGGGAAAAATATACCATGCTAACACGAACCAAAAGAAAGCTAGAGTAACTGTACTAATTTCAGACAAAGCAGATTTCAGAGCAGGGAAAATTATCAGGGAAAAAGTAGGGCATTGTATAATGCTAAAAAGATCGGTTTTCCAAGAAGACATAACAATCCTTAACATGTATGTGCCTAACAACACAACACCAAAAACTGACAGAACTGCAAGAAGAAACAGGCAAATCCAGTTACAGTTGGTAAGTCCAGCCCCTTTGTCAGTAATCAACAGATCCAGCAGGCACATATGTCAGTATGTGCCTTATGTCAGTAAGGACATAGTCGAACTGAGCAGTACCATCGATCAACTGGATCTAATTGAAGTTTATAGAATACTTAATCCAACAACAGTAGAATACACATTCTTCTTGAGCTCACATGGAACATTCACGAAGATAGATGACATTCTGGCCATAAAACAAATGAGTAGCCAGATATGGTTTTCTAAGTCACCCACGATCCTATCTTAAGTGCTCAAATCTGACAACTGTTGATTTCTTGTTTCTAAGATTGAGTCCTAAGTGTAAAATGAAGTAAAATAACTTTCAGAATATCTTTTGTATCTAAAACGATCTTTGAGATTTCCCGGAAGGTCCCTGGAAAATCACAAAGACTTTTCCTTCCACCCTTTAACAAAGAGAGGTGCCGGAAACAATTAGGATTATTTGATATGTTACTGTTAGAGTTTCATGGGAAGAGTTGTCAAATCAGAAAAGATGCTTAGCCTTTTCTAGGTTAAATGGGTATAGGTCAAATGTTTAAATATTTCAGCAACTGTATGCCCTATGGGCAGTTCTGAGAGATTTGTCATTGCCCTTGCTGTCCATGACTTATTTCCATTAATCAGAGTCCTGAAGGTGACATGCCTGATGTTACAAGACAGTATAATGATCAGTCACAATTCAGTTATCATTTAAAATGTTTATTTGATAATAATATTCTTTAATTTGAACCTGGCATCTTTAGGCCAGTGCTTTTCAACTGGAAATGCACATCAGATTTACCTATAGAGTTGTATTAAAATCCACTGCTGGGGCACCTGGTGGCTCAGCAGGTTAAGTGTCCAACTCTTGATTTCGGCTCACAGTTGTGAGATCAAGCCCACATTAGTCTCTGCACTGGGGGTGGAACCTGTTTAAGATTTTCTCTGTCCTTTTTTATTTTTATTTTTTTTTATTTTTATTTTTTTTTAAATGTTTTATTTATTTCTAGGAGAGAGAGAGAGAGAGAGACAGCGTGAGCAGGGGAGGGTCAGAGAGAGAGGGAGTCACAGACTGAAACAGGCTCCAGGCTCCGAGCTGGCAGTCAGCACAGAGCCGGACGCGGGGCTCGAACCCACGAACCGCGAGATCATGACCTAAGCGAAAGTCGGACGCTTAACCGACTAAGCCACCCAGGCGCCCCAAGATTTTCTCTGTCCTTAAAAAAAAAAAAAAAAGATTCTCTCTTTCCCTCTCCCTTTGCCTCTCCAGTACACATGTGCATGTATGCTCTCTCTCTCTCTCTCTCTCTCTCTCTCTCTCTCAAAACAAAACAACACATGCTTAGGATCTACTCTGGACTTAATGAATCTCTTTACATAATATTCTTTTTTATTTATTTTATTTTATTTTTTTAATGTTTTATTATTTATTTCTAGGAGAGAGAGAGAGAGAGAGACAGCGTGAGCAGGGGAGGGTCAGAGAGAGAGGGAGTCACAGACTGAAACAGGCCCCAGGCTCTGAGCTTGCAGTCAGCACAGAGCCCGACACGGGGCTCGAACCCACGAACTGCGAGATCATGACCTAAGTGAAAGTCGGACGCTTAACCGACTAAGCCACCCAGGCGCCCCATAATATTCTTTTTTAAAAAAAGTTTATTTATTTTGAGACACAGAGAGAGAGAGAGAACACATGCATGTGAGCTGGGGAAGTGCAGAGAGAGTGGGAGAGAGAGAGAGACAGAGACAGAGAGAGAATCCCAAGCAGGCTCTGTGCTGATAGTCCTGTCTGGGACTTGATCTCACCAAGTGTGAGATCATGACCTGAGCCAAAATCAAAAGTCAGACACTTAACTGACAGAGCCACCAGGTGTCCCTCTTTACATAATATTCTTGATCTATTTTTCTTATGTTCTTGATATAGTCTTGTTATAACATATAGATATGTTATAATACATATATATTATGTATATGCATTTATCTAATTATAAATTATACCTCAATATGTTTTTCTCTGCAAAGATTACATTTGACCATTTTTATAAGTCAGATAGAACGTTTCCTGTCTATATAAAAACATGCTTACTCATTATAAACATTTTGCCCAAAATTTTTAGGTTGCCTTAGCATGTTTGTTTTGCATCCTATAGAAACAACCAAATTTCCTGGTCAGTGTCATTTCTGCTATAAAACATTTCACTTTTTTGAATGTTTTTCTTTATTTCTGAGAGAGAGAGAGAGA